CGTGAGGGCAGTCACCGGCCCTCCGGGCAGCGGGAAGGAGGGGGTGCCCTGAGAGTCCGGTCTCGCTGTAAATAACAGTAAATACTGAGGGGAGGGGGGGGGACGACGACGGGACTGGCCCGCGAGAGACAATCCAGGGGTTTGGGCAGCCGTGTGGGTTAGGTTTCGTCTGTCAGCAGGAGGCAGACACATCCCCGTGCGTGGATCTCGTTCCGTGAGTTTTTGGTGGGGTTTCGGTTGCAGGTCAGTACTGAAATACTGAAGAAAAAAAAAAAAATAAAAAATCATGAAGGTGACTTGGAGTGAGGGCAGCTGCACCGTGCACAGCACATCATTGCGTTTGATCCTCCTGTTGTTCCTGTAACAGATGGAAAAGCTTTATCGTGCCTTAAAAATGTTGGGTTGGTTTTGGTTTTTTCTTTTCCTCATTTCTTCTGTCAATTCATCATTGTTTGGGCCAGATCAGAAGGATGGGAGTTTGGGTTGGGTGGCACGAAGTACCCATGCACCTGCCTGCCGCCTTCGTTCACAAAGGGGAGTCCCAGCTTGGTATAGGCCAAAATAGTGGCAGAGCGTATGATGAACTGCTGTACAGTGTGCACCCGTATCCATACATCAGATTAAGCTATGAATTAGTTCAAGGATAAATTAATAGCTTTAAATCATGCAGTTGTTTTACATGAGTGAGAATTAAAGAGTGGTGAGGAATCTTTGTTTTGGATTTACCTTTGTTTCAATATTTTGAATGTTTTGCATCATTGCCTATTGCTGTGTTGGCTGTAGCTTACTATCTTGCCAAGTGATTAGGTCGTCATCATCATGGTCCCTTACTGTTGCTGAGGTACCTCAGCATAATGATCATTATCAAACAACACATTGACCATCCATATTTCTTTTTAGGATTAGTTCCAGCTTTCATGGACTTAGTGTCAGTAGCGTTGATATTACCCATGAAATTAAAACAGGAAGAAATCAAGGTTCTTAAATATTTATTGCATGTCCTGAACACCGTTACTCTTAAGATCTTGTACTTCTCTCGTTTATTACCTTTTAAGTTGAAATGAAAGTTTCATTGTGGGTGATTGACTTTCTTTATTGTCCCGTGGTTGTTAATTTTTCTATAAATAGTTGTTCATTCTTAAAAGAACTGAACAAACCAGTTTTCATACAGGTGAGAACTAAAGTTGCATATTTCAGATATGATTAAATCATCACAATTTGTGGCATTATAGATACTACCCAAAATAGATACTTTTTTTTTTGGCATGGGTTTTCTAGGTACATTGTTCCTGTTGACATATATTGAGATTTTACTGAAGTTGGTAATAACAATTGTTTTTATAAAGCAAAAATACGCTATTTTAGATTACAATCCAAATGTTGAGACGAGGATTTCTACAAATTTAGGTGGTCGTAAACTTAAAACCCAAGCTGCTTATTGTGAAGTAAGTTTCTCAGTACTCCTTACTCAGTAGCTAAATTAAACAGTAGTTTGCATACTGTCAAGCTGGCGAGGAACAGGTTGGACAGGGCCTACCAGGCTTGATTTTTAAATCCTAACCCCTCAGACACTGGAATGTTGTTGACATTCTCACCTAGTGGCTTTTCCAGGCTTCTCACTGCAGTTAATCTGTCACCCACAGCAGCGGGCACTTCTCATTTATTCAATACTACCCCATTTTTCCATCACCTGTATAGAGAAGCTCCCTTTCAGATATATACAAAGGAATTTGAACACACATGCGCATGCATTTTCTTCATAATATCTCCACAATTAATTTTGCCAAGCGTCTCTTTGGTCTTTAGAGTTCTAATATAAGATTGTGTTGCATTGATACTGGAGAAGGTCTGATGGCTGGGAGTAAATGAAACAATGCAAAAAGCACAAGATTTAAAAACAAATAAATTAGATTTGCGGTTATCTTAAACTCATTAGGATTGATTTTATAGTCCTTTAGCTTATAGAGTTTGCCGCACGGAATAGCTGCAGCATAAAATCTCTGAAAGCTGGAGATATCCATAGCTCCTATTTAGAATACTCCATGATCCTTGTTTCTACCTATTTATCAGGTTAATGCAAAGTTCCTTTATACAGGGGTATTAGCTAATGTCTAATAGCTGTTTGGTCTTGGGCTGCACAGTTAGGAATTGCATGCATTTTTCCATAGCACAATTCATAAAGTAAAATTAATATATTGTAATGAAATGTTACATACCGTAATAAAATTACTTAATAAAGGAATTCTATGTTTCTGTAATTTATTTCCAGCTATCTTCTCAACAAAACACTTAATACATACCAAGCAAGTACATAATTGTTCTTAAGATTATCTCATTGTATTCAGACTCAGCTTCTCATATCTCACAGTCCCTATAATTAAGACCAACTCCACCCTTAACATGCTTGTAGTCATATCTGTTTCTGCTGCTGAGTACTCCTGTTCAAGCCGTCTCAACTATTTCTGATTTTAAAGTTAATATTTGCAGGATTGAAATCTGTGCAGCTGGATACCTTTCTTTTTTATAATATATTTTCTTAAAACTCCTAGTTCTTCATTTAATAGCACAAAGTTGCATCACTCAGCTAACATGGAAATGGGAGAAATATCTATGGAGCCACAGCATTAGTGTATTTCTCCATTTTGCTGAGGAAGAATACTGAAGGTGGGATATAATGGCAACAATAGTCAAGCTAGAGCAGCATAGATGTGTTGCTTCCAACACTGTGCTAGAGTTTGCTTAGGACTAGGTTAATACTGTTGCACGCATCTACACACAGTGAATTGTTCAGTAACTCATATTACTTTTAAGAAGTTTTGTTTAGTATGTTTATTACCTCTTTTAGAAATCAAGTCTATTTTTCCAATTTGATACTAATCAGATTATTTCTAATGGAATCAGATCTGTAGTACCAGGGGGAGAAGGTGTACATGTCCAAATAACAGTGTGATTGATTTCAGTCAATTTTGACTGAGGTATACAGGTGTCAGCAATAAGTTGCTACAAGGCTAAAGAGCTGTGGAAAGGAAACAAACTCCATCTGTGTCTTGAATGTGGAAGAAGCTGTGGCATAAATGCATATATTAATAGTTACCAGATAAGCTACGTAGACCAGAACATTGCCTTATAAATGTAAATAATACAGTGGGAAGAGCTTTAATTTGTACAAGCAAGGACCTCGTACCCGATCAGAAGGACATTGGGGCTGATTAGTCCCAGTGCTCACTGGATTACTTGTTAGTACCTTCTGCTTCTTCAGTCCTTGTTACTGTGGCTTGGCAAACATCATCTTCATCACAACAGAATCTTGTCTCTTCCCCTTGAATAGGAATGACATTCTCTATTTTTCAAAGAAGTAGTTTTACACAAATTATATGCCAGTGAGTTGAGTACATGGCCAATAAGCCCATAAATGAAAACAGTATTTCTGCAGATTTTACTACATTTCCTGCTATCTTAGGTTTGTTTTACTGTAGGTTGAAGGAATTTGGACTCTCACACCTAATTTGAAAGAGAGTGTGAAGAAATAACCTTAAATGTTGCCTTTGAATATACCACATAATACTGATTCCAGGAAATCCCTTCTTCTTGTGTTCGCTCTCCATCTTTGCTCATACCGATAAGGAAGATGAACGTCTATCTCTTTTTTTCTCTGTCTGCTTCCTGTCTTCATTCTTGTGTATAAGTTATCAGAGACAATTGTATAAATGGGACGTAGGCTTCAGAACTTCTATCTTGCTGAATAGGGAAGTCAGATTTTTTGGCACTAATTGTGACAACTTAGGAAACCGTGGAAGTACACACTACAGGGAAAGACGAACTAAATTGTAAGATGCCACAGTCTTATAGCTCTTAAAATTGGAAGATGATATAAAAAACTTCCTTGTACAATTTTGTTAAAGCATAAAAAGGTGGTTTCTTGTTTCCTTTCTCTGCAGCCGCTGATCAGCTCATTGATACTTAGGTCATCAAATAATGATGTCAGCAATCTACTGGGTAAAATACTGAATTTTGAGCTTGTATTTTGACAGGCATAGTGTAGGAAAGAACACATTTTTTAATTGTCTTCTCTGTAGTACACATCAATTCTTTTGCTGGCCTGGGATCTTAAGCAATCCTTCTCTTCAGAAAATATATAGTTCCATGCGCACTGGAATTAAGGGAGCCTGGTTTCCTTCAGATTTGGTTCTCTTTTTTTGGTTGATATTCATATACAAGGTCTGAACCTTCCCCTTCATAGGAGCAGTTTATAGATTCTCCGCTTTATTCAATCAGCTGTGTTGAAGAAATGGTTGAATTTCAGTCCTTAATTACTTTGTTAGATCTAAGGAAGAATGATCAACAGATTCAGAAGTTTTGGAGGAGGAATAGAAGCAATGACATATAATCCCCAGGTATGCGTGCACAGATATGTGTATGCAGTATGAATATGTATAAGTACAAAGCCCTAGTAGTTATATTTCAGCATCCTTTTTGTGGGTTACTCCTATATCTTATTGCATCCTTCGTTAGGTATCCTTTAATATTATAGTTTTCAACATGTTTCTTATGTTAATAGAAATTGTGAAAGGACTGTGGAGCTTTTATTTTTCTTGTCTTTGTAGGATAATACGTTGTTCTACGGTTGATAAAATGGAGTCCATGCTGAATAAATTGAAGAGTACCGTTACAAAGGTAACGGCTGATGTCACCAGTGCAGTCATGGGAAATCCTGTTACCAGGGAATTTGATGTTGGCCGACATATTGCCAGTGGTGGTAATGGTCTTGCTTGGAAGATCTTTAATGGAACTAAAAAATCAACAAAACAGGTGGGTTGTCAAGTAAAGACGTAAGTTTATAAGCATTAGATAACAGACTGATAAATAGCAGTTGGTAGGTGGCATTTAAAAACAAAATTCAACTGGGAGTCTAATGCTAAGGGTAAATAAAACGAAACAAAGGACTCAACATTATATTTAAATATAATGTTCTCAGCTACATAGGTTATAATTGCTTTATGCCTGCAGTGGTGGAGAAAGAAGTGGTTCTGCATTCATAGCATACAATTTGAGACCAAGACCAAGAATTAATCTGAGTTAAAAGTGGTCTGACAAGAAGAAAGAAGTTTGTTTTGACATGGATCAGTTCCCCAGTTTGTTTTATTTTGTGGCTTTTTTTGGCAGCAGTACTGGCATTCAACAGTGTAAAAAAAAGAAAATAAAAATCATGAAGTATGCCATCATTTGCTCTCGGGAAAAAAAGACAAGTGTTTTGCTCAGCTGCCGTACAGAAATTGAGGGGTTAGAAATGTTAAGTCATGAGATACAGTAACAGGAAAGCATGGGATAGAGGAGGTGGCTGTGGAGGAAGTGAGTTGTGCCTTCCCTGTGCTGCTTCCAGATCAGTATTGTTCCCTTTTAGTTTCTTTAAAGTATTAGGGTTTAGAGCACTGGCATATAAACTTTTCACTCACTGGAAGTCACATGTGTAAATGAAAGTGGGATTGTGACTTTGGAAGAAGGTTTACCAGAAACAGAGTTTAAGAATTGTTATTATAGACAATTACTTTGTTGTACTGGAGAAATGTGAAAGGTCTTTTTTCAAACTTAGAAAGGAAATAGAATTCTCAACAAATAAATAGAAGTGTTTGTAAGTTATGGCCTTGAGTTAAATTTGATGCTGAAGTGATGTGAGGTCACTTAGACGATGAATCAGCTTGCTAAAGATGTACCAAAAAGAAATGGACACAGAGGAATAACTTTGGAAAATATGTATACAATCTGTTAGATGGTAGGAAAATATACTGTAGCAAATAGAGAAGAAATATACTATGCAGAATAAATAATCTGTTGAGAATGTGTGATCTGATTGTTACAGAATCAGAATAATGTTACGCAGGTACTTTCGCCATATTCTCAAGCATCTGTCTAGCTGTTGCAGAACTCTGTACATCTAGTATTTACTGAATTTACCCAATGTACCAATTGGGTTGGTTTTTTGGTCTTACGTAACTGTACAAAGAGATGATAACATTGAATAGTCTGTGCCCATTAAGCATTTGACCTGTAGCAGGTGTAGCTTTAAGGTCTGGAGAGTTGTAGCAAGTTTCTTTCACTGCCTGATTGACAGAGTCTATGTAATTTGGTTCCCCTAAATCATGTTCTTCAAGCTTTGAGTGGGTGTTCTGACCACTGGTTTTGCAGAGTTTTAGATCAGGTGTTACCACATGTGATTCTGCAGTGTCTCTGTAAACCCTGACTAACATCTGTACATTTGTATGCCATCGTTACTCATTAAAAATACAGCAGCAATCGTACTGCAAGGAATTTTAGATGGCTGCTTATTTCACATGCAATTACCATTCATTATTAATATAATAGTTAGGTAACATCATGTCAACATTCAGTTTGACATTGCAAAATAAAACTACGCAGCAATATAAACAGTTTATGTTGTGTTGTATTATATATATTATATATAATATATCTGTTCTTTAACATTATTTCTTTTGCATGTACATTTTGAATGTTGGCAGGGCAATACGGAACGGGCTGGCTGTCATTTTCCAAGGGGTAGCATTCGCTTGTGAAGTGATGCACATATTGGCTGTATTGCAAGTGTGTATATCTAATTTGAACCTACATGCACTTAGCTTTTTTACAGTAACGTGTATTGTAATCAGACAAGCAGGATGTAAGGGCTTAATTGGCCGTGTTGTTGTCACTTTACAACAACACAAGTCCCTGTAGCCCAATAAAATAGCTACATTTGGAGTTTTAACGTTACAGCAGTAGAGCCGATCAGAAATTTTTGTTCTCAGGACAAATCAAAGTCAGCCGTTTTACAAAATTTGGTCAGTTGAAGTTAAGATTCACATATGGATTCATTTGGTTCTTATTTTAAGTCAGTGGACAGTTACAAATATTCCATCTCTGGTGACAGTAGATATGTATGATTTTATTCCTCTTTTCAGAGTTCTGCCTGGTTCCTGCCTTGCTGTTTTTTCTGGATTTCTGTTGGGTTTTTTTAATGTCTTGTCTTTTCTTTCTTGCTTTGTAGGTGATTGAATAACAACCTAACAGAATGTGAGGAAATTACTGTGTGCATATATTTGTTTGGTGCTATTTGATAGCTGATTTGCTGCCATTTGTTTGAAAGATTTATGAGTCTTTTTGGTTATACGTGAAGTAACATGTTGCTAATTTTGCAATGTGTATTTCTGCTCATCTTGGATTATTTAACTTAGTCTTTATGCACTTATATTTTTTTCTGGCATAATATGACACTTGTCCTTTTTTCTGCTTGGAAAGCCTGATGATCATAAAGAAATAGGTAGGGTAAGGTCACTTAATGTTCTTGTTGGCAGCTCAGGTATAAAAACTAGCAGAATTAAGGAGATAATGGTTTTGACTTCAAGACTATTGTAATTGTGTTTAACTTTTATTGTGGTAGTACTAAATATATTAACAGTGGGTAAGTCAGCTTTCTGTTGTTTTGGCTGTGCATACAGTAGCTTTCAAATGAAAGCTTCCTACTATTCAAACTTTAAAGGCTAATTAATTTTAAAACTGAAATAATTGTATTGTATACCTTATGACTGAAACAAACTGATGGGAAAGTAGGGTTATAGAAAAACATTGGCAAGCTTCTAAAAATAACCCCCCCAAAAGCTGGAGGGAAACCTTTTTCTGGCAAAAGACCAGCATAATACTGGAATGCTTTCCAGTATTTTAGTTGAGAGACTATTTTGCTTTGCACAGTGGGAGGTTTTAGTAAAACATCATGTGTTTGCATAGTGAGTTAATTTGATTATTCATTTAAAAAATGTGTGAGTGCATATGGGTGAAATAGAGAACAAAAATGAAACAGAAAACAAACATAAAGTTTCTAAAATCAAGCACTCTGACTGCTACCTTAAAATTTTCTTTGCTTTTATGTTCATGACTTGATTACATTTAATTTTTTTCCACAAGAGCGCTACACCATTCATTTCACAAGATAGATGGTGAGCTGTAATTATTAAATATTTTGTGTTGTTGTTTTTTTTTCTTCCTTCGTGTTCTGTGCTTAGTCTCTGGCATTATTACTCCAGACTATTCAAAGAGTCATTGAAAACAGGAGGATTTGAGTTTCTGTGGCATTCATGACTATAGTGCTTGAACGTTTTATGCGTATTGTTGACAAGTTTTCTTGGTATGCAGTGAGATAAATAGGAAGAGATATTGCTATTCCATTACCATTACATTTGCACAGCTTTTATAGTCATTAATTTAGAAATACTTTTTTTTTTTTTGGGCACACAAAACCCAGTGTATTTCTGAATTCTTACCTTCCTCTTGGGGGCAGGACAGAAAACGTGATGTGCCTTGGTTGCCTGCTTGCCTTTTTCTGGTTAGGGAGAATTATTTTTCTCTCTCTCTTTTCCCCTTCCCCCTGTTTTGTTTGTTTGTTTGTTTCTTTTTAGCAGTTGCTTTGGCTAAGATAGGAGTGGGATTTTTGCATTGTGTTTGGTTTATACAATGTTTACATGGGTAAATAAGGACATGCGTTTTAAACTGTCAGTGTGTGTTTCAAACTGGCATGTGTTTCGTGAGGAATATGAAACATAAGTGGGGGGAAAAACAAGCAAAGCAAAGGAAGTTGCTCACAATATCCCACAGGTAGACTGGCGCTGAAGCTAGTCTCCCAACAACAGCTACCTTGGAAGGCAAACCCTCCCTTCTTCCTCTACCCTAGTCTTTGTCACTGAGCATGATGTTATGTGATATGGAATAGCCCTTTGGCCAGTTCAGGTTGGCTGTCCCGGCCATGTCCTGGCCCAGTCTCCTGCTTACCCACAGCGTACTCACTGCAGTGGTAAAGAAAACCTTGACGCTGTGAAAGGACTGTTCAGCAACAGCCAAACAGTGTTATCAACACTGTTTTTACCACAAATCTAAACCACAGCACCATATGGGATACTATGAAGAATCATAGAATGGTTTAGGTTGGAAAGGACCTTAAAGATCATCGAGTTCCAACCTCCCTGCCACGGGCAGGGAAAAAAAGAAAGTTAACTCCATCTCAGCCAGACCCAATACAAAGGAAAACTACACAAAGAAGCTGGGAAAAGAAAATTGGGGCATTTATTGATTAAAACTACAAAAAAAAACTTTATGAAGGGGTATATTAGTGAATACCAGGGTTTTGGGGCAGTGGTCAACAGGGTTCCCCTGAAATACACAAGCACAGTGAAAGAGAACTTATTTACACTTTTCTGTTCAGTGTCTGAAAGCGTTCTAGATGGGTTGATGTGCTGCTATAGCCCAGTTAAACCATGTCCTGTGTTTTGCATGTTGTGGAAAATGATTACTCCTGTTTGCACAGGTGACATGTAATTCCTTGGCAAAGGCATTGTAGAAATAAAACACTGATCTTTTTGGTGTTTGTTGATGTTAAAAATTCTAAATTCTTGGCAGTAACAAGAGGTATTTTCTTGAAGGTCTTCGTCCTGGCAAGTATTTGAAAGAGGTAGTAACACATCATAACGTACAGCTGTCTCAATGTCATCACTGAGCTTTACCTAACACCACTTTGAAGTAAAGCACTTCACTTGACTTAAACATGTGGAAGGTGGGACAGAAGGTGTGGACTGTCTCAGGTTTGTGTACCGAACTGAGATTTAAACTTAGCACTGTGTCCCGTCTAGTCCCCTACACGCTTATCCATACTTCCTAACCCAGGTAGTCGCATTACTGGTATACAGTGTTGAGACAGGAGCATGTTGAGCAAGGTGTGTTTACTTCCTATCACATTATGAATGAAAATTTGTGTCATTAAAGATAAGAGTGGTTTTGCCTCTACTTTTCTGCTTTCTTTGTGGAAAGCAGTCGTATTTTTTTAAATATATTTTAGTCTTTTTATGTTAAATTTCTTTTTGTATCACAAAGTTGGAATTACAACACAACTGAAGAATTAAATAATGAGTAGTCATCTGCAGGAGGAAGCTACTCTTCCTTCAAACCTATGAAATGAAAAAAACGAAGTGGAAGCTCCCCTAGAGCTTTTTGGTGGAAAGAGGTAGTAACTATGTAAATCCTTTGCAGGCTTTCATCTCAGTAAGTTTCTGTGAGAGTAATTACAGGAAATGAAATGTCTATCAGCTACAGTCAATAGCCCTCCTTTTGGGGATTGAATATCAGTTCTTTTAAAACAGAAAAGGGAAAACAGAAATAATGTGTTCATAGTCAAAATTTTACAGGGTTATTTGCTTCACACAGCGTAAAACCATGAACGCTTTTGAATGTTTCCAAGCATCCTATATGGTTTCAGTAATTTTTGTGCGTTGAGTGTGTGTTCTGTGGCCCATGACTCAGCTATCTCTTCATTTTTCTGTGAAGTAATATGTGGTGACTTATGGAGGTTAAGATATTAAATTATTGATAGGGAATTCTGCATATAAAAATAAATGTTGATGATGGAATTGAATTTCAGAATGGTGTATTTTGAATTATTAATATCAGAACATTTAACTTTTTAGTGTCCATGAGCAGACAGAAGGCTGTATGCTTTCTTCTTGTATGAGATCCGTTATATGAAAATAAAGGTATTGAAAGGAAATTGTCAGCTCAAATTATTTTGATTCTTGACACTCCACAATGACTAAGTGTACAAAATCAATGTGGTAGCAATCATTTTCATATGTAGAATACTACAATTTCAAATCCATACTTGCATGTGAGCAGGTTTTGGATAGGTAGAAGTTATGTCAACTTCACACAAACTATGCAGGATTGCAGCAAGCACCAATAGAACTTACTTATAGCCATCTGAAAATATTCAAAACATAGCTGATGTCCCATTTATTTAAATACTCACTTTCTGATCATTTTGATTTGTCATTAGCAGAAGTGCTTTCAGAAGTGCTATATTACTTTGAAATTTTGTTATTGGTCACATACTGCTCAATACACTCACACTTTGTACTGGAAAATGAGTATTTTTTAAATAATGGGTTTAGTCTATGTCTTCCATCCCCTGTAACTGGTTCTTCCCTGCCTTGTGTCAATGTTAATGTTTGATCCATCACACAAAAGTTAGAGCAGGGAGCTGGTAGGAAGAGAAGGAGGAAGTGTACTTAGTTGAGTTGGTTGTAGACCTTCACCTGCTAATGGTTTCATGAAACAGGTACCAGCTAAAAAATATAAACCAACTTTTTGTGTATTGGACTGAATTTCTTTCTTTATATGGCCTATTTCTAGAAGTCTTTTTTTTTTTCTTTTTTTTTTTTAAAGAAAATCAATAGCTGTTCCTTTGAGATTTTAATTAGAATAATGGTTATAAAATGTGCACTACAAGAGCATAGACTTCCTCTTGTGACTGAAAACTTTGTTTTCCTATTATTTTCTACTGGTTTCTAAACTTTATCATTACTTACAATGCTGTTGCAGGAGTATAAGAAAGTCTCTCTCTTTCACGGTAAAGTTTTTAATTCATTTTTTCTTCAATTGATTTATTTCTCTTTACTGGCTTACAAGGTAGTGATGTAGTCTAATTTTTTATTTCACATCCACCTCTAATTTCAAAGTTTCATATAAATGTCTTAATTTTCTCCCACTCCATTTGCACAGGTTGGTTGGAAGAACTATTTTCTCTGTTTTTAACATCTACCACCTTTCTGGGACTTCTTTTTACACGTTTAAGCATTAAAAAATTCTTAATGATTTATCATGTGAATGGTGTTATCAAATTAATTGATTACTGTGGCTATAAATTATCTTTCATCAGTGTTTAGTTTAATATAGATTGTACTGCTTTGGAGCAGAATGCTGAGACAGCGTCAGATTTAATAAAGCACCACTCAATATATTTAATGCCAAATGAATACATATATGCTCAGAATATTTTAATTATTCATAGTTGATGCAAATGCTTTTATCTACTTAAAATCAAGCTGATTTCTGTCGTGTGGATCTGCTGCTTTGTCACTGTGTAGCCAGTGGTTATCATTTACACATTACTGTTTGTTAGCTAAGGAGCAGTAGTAGCTTAACTCTTAAAATATATATTCTAGAGGTTATATACAGTAAACTGTGATTATGACTGGGACAAAGTATAGGACAATGTGTATATATACATATACATTGAAATACTTATTGCATTGGTGGGATTGCACTGTTGATTCAGAAAATTTGTGTGTGTGTGTGTGTATGTAATTGTGTATAGGCTTGTTTTTTGGCTGTGTTATATACCGAGTGCATTTTGTTGCTTATTTCTAGGAAGTGGCTGTTTTTGTCTTTGATAAGAAGCTAATAGACAAGTATCAAAAATTTGAAAAGGATCAGATTATTGATTCTTTAAAACGAGGTGTTCAACAGCTAACCAGGCTTCGACACCCTCGACTACTTACAGTTCAACATCCATTGGAGGAATCCAGGTAAGCTCTAGTAAAGTTGAGAACCGACTTTCTTGGTCATTGTTTTGATACTGGACGTAAAATATCTGGAACATTCAACACATGCATCTGATGAGATTCAAGTTTTCGCCCCACCCTCAGGTGTTTTTTTTTCCTTGCACCAAGCCATAGGATGCATTTCTGGTGTGGATCTAGTGCATCTAATTAATAATCTATTGCATGTTCTTAGTCCATTTGCAGCTATAAGGCTGCACATGACCCTGAGACCATGAAAATTTTGAAGTTCAATTAACTTTGCTTTTAAAGAACTCTCTTAAAAATTGTTTTCTTGCAAAAGGTTGTTCATATGTTTGTTCCGTTTATGAGATGTATATGCTTAGTGCGTATGAGATTGGAGATTTTTGGTATGTGTGTTGTGGCCACATATCTGTTTAAAAGGTCCTCAAATGCCAATCGAGGGAGACAAAATTCAGTGTATTTTGGTAGTGGTAATTTGATTTGTGTAGGGTTGGTCACGAGGCACAATAATGGTTTAGTCTTACAGATTTACTGTTCAACTGTAGTGATAACAGCACACTAAAATCTAACAAATAAAGTAAAGGTTTCATGTTAAAATAGAAAGCTGATCCTGATCCTACTGAGTAGGATCTTGAAGGTTTTAGAGGTTTTTTTTCCAAAGTAGTTTTTCTAAATGATAGTCCAATAAAGATTCATGTACATTACTTCTCAAACTTCTACGTTTTTGATTCTGTATGTTAACCTGCGTTTTTCCAAATGTACTGGCTTCTAGGAGCTGAGAATACTGTGGGAATGCTTCTTCATCTTTGTGATGCCTGCTTTGGGAAAGATCTCTTGGATTAAGTGACACTTGCATATTTATATGTATCTTTCCTCCAGTACTAAACACGTTTCGCATTAACAAGGCCTCAAAGCTGTCATTGACCCTGTGGTTCAGTATGCCCCTCACAAAAGTCTAAGGAAGATTAATTAGGTAATTGAAAGCAGCTCTCAGTACTCTACAACAGTAAATGAACTATTACACGCTAAAGGGTCTAGGGTCATCTCTGTCATAGTGCATGCAGGTGAATCCCAGAGTATACCCCAGGCTTCTTCCTAAAATTGTCACAGTATTTCATACAATCATAGAATCATCTAGGTTGGAAGGGACCTTTAAGATCATCAAATCCAACCATCAACCTGCACTACCAAAACCAGTACTAAACTGTGTCCCGAAGCACCACGTCTATGTGTCTTTTAAATACCTCCAGAGGGATGATGATTCCACCGCTTCCCTGGGCAGCCAGTTCCAATGTTTGATAACCCTTTCAGTGAAGAAAATGTCAATTGACTCAGTAACTGCAACTGTAATTATTTTTTCCCTGAACTCTGCACTTCAGAAGAAAAGGCTAAGATTCATACCTTGGAATGTTAAGAAAGCTTTGTTCTTCCTGTGAAGAATTTAAGCATTTTGAGTAAAATTAACAGTGTTGTTACGTTAGAGTTCTCATTTGTGAGTTTTTAGTAATGCCCTATGCTTTGTTCCAATTGTTCTTCTTTCCATACTTGGCACACTCAGCTACTGGTAGAAACAGTGGTAGCACAAAACCTGTCCAGTTGCTTGCTGTGCCAGAAACTGGTGTAACGGGTTTTGGCTGAGGTTCGTAAAAGAAAAGTTTACTTGGAATATTTGTGTGTGTTACCTTGTGCAGGCACGCTGTAAAATTTCTTTAAAATTGCAGGTCTTTCCAGAGTGCTTATTCTTGAAGAAATCTGCGATGGGCTCCTTCTAGCTAGACTGTACCTCAGCTTTTTTTTTGTGTCTCCAAAGTAACATGCAGTTGTGTTGAACTGCTTGCAAGTCACTCTTTATTCCTCCTTCGTGGGGCAAAGGGGTACTTGGTGTACCTGCACAGCTGAAGTAGATGTAGAAAGAAAGGCCCTAATTTTCTGACCCTAGTGTATGGGTAGCTTTTCCACTCTTAATAGAATGTTTCTACTCCAAATTATTGGTATTCAATATAATTGCATGTCGTATAAATATATATATTATAATTTATACATTTTCACATGCATTTATATAATGAAAAAACTCTATATTAAATATTTAATATAAAAATGCAATATGTTTACTTAAAACAGGTGTTGAGTTTCAGTAACAGCACAGATGAGCAATATTATTATATATTTAACTTGTTATTGGAGAAAAGGATAAAAAAGACAAATTGTAAGTTTACTCATAATGCCATTGCTACCCATTAAAAACAGTAGTAGTATGAAGAGTCCCAGATACTTAATTTACTAGACATTCTGTCTGTTGCAGTTTTTTGCAAAGCGTATGCATTTTTGGCCATCGTTTTCATTTTTAACTTGTTTTCTTTTTATTATGTTCATTTTGATATTATTCAGGGAACTGTTAAAGAAGCTGCACTGTATGGCAGACATCAGCTTCTGCAATATTCAGTTGCTTTAATTAGATTTGCCCCATCCTTCCATTACTCTGGTTTGGGTCCTTATTTAATAAGCTCCTAAAGTAAAAAATAAACAGCCATCTTTCCGTTCTCTCAAAACAAGAGCAATCAGAGAGTTTATGTTATTAAAACCACTGAATAACTATTCCCTAGGTATTTTCTACCACCTGTGCCTTAACTGTAACTAAATGTGTAAGCTCTATGGTAAAGTTGGAATCAGACTGAACATGAAGGACTTTGTCTTTCCATGCTCTGATTCTTCCTTGTGATTACTACAGAAATGAGTTTTATAGCCCTAGTTGTGTTAACAGAAACAGGAAAGGGATGGCATTAACAGAATGGTAGGGAGGAAATCAAGCAAAGAAGTTCTGTCAGGGTGGCTGACAGGATTCGATGAATTTGAGTTTTCAGTTGGTTTTCTTTCAGAAAGGCAATAGATAAAGCTCAAGTAGAACTAAAATGTGGATAAGTAATGAGCGGTTTGCGTGTTTCTGATTTTACTTCAAAAAGCAAGCTTGTTAATTACTGAGATACATAAAAACGATGTGGTAGATTCATGCTGAGGTGTAGTCTTCTGGGGTATTTTTAGGGAATAAACAAAAAGTTAGGCTTCTGTCTTCTTGCCTATAACTTTATACTCAAAAATATATCTTTACATACATAAAGATACAAGGATAACTTTATATATATAAAGATTTATATATAATATACCCAAACCATTCTATGATTACTGTTACTCAGTTTTTGGTGTTCATACTGGTACAGTATTTAGTGTTCTCATGAATTACTCCTCCTTAAACCAGGCACGTTTGCTATCAAATATGTAATGCTTTCTCCAAAAAAACTTTGAAACAATTAAGAAGTGAGGTGCAATGTTTGTTCAGGGCCTCCAGCACCGTACAGACCAGTATGAAGAATGTGGATATAAAGAATGACTCTGTCTGTGTTACATGAAGTTTGTGAAACTGAGACATACATTATTTTCAGGACTTCAAAATTTGGATTTTTGAAGCACAGTGTTACGGCGAGTCCACTTTATGTGCGGAAGTTTGCTTCATCTGTGCTTTTCAAACACAGCTAACATGAAAATGCGTAAACAAGACCTGTATTTTATCTTGAAGAAAACAATAGAAAAAATAATTTAGAAAATAGTCACTTCGCATGTAAGCTGCAGTTCATACAACAAGCGTATTTGTGTTTGGCCCTCGTGTTTTCTGTTCATTTGCAAAGTAAAAGAATATTCAGGTGCTACCTTACATTTTATTAATTTTGTTTCTGACCACAATAAGTATTGGTTCAGTCAGGGATGTGTCAGTTTTAGGCACAGCTTAAAAGCCTGATTTTACAAGTTTTAATAGTAAGAATGATTTGTTTGATTTTCCTGGATCAGGACAAGAAAAGCATTGTTTTGTTAAAACTTTTTGTGAAGCATTGTATGCATCATTAGTGATGTATCTGAATGTAAGAGAATAAAAAAACTGAAGCTGATTTTTATATTCTAATAATTTTGAATTGTTCAGATACTGATATATTTCTCTCTAGTATAATATTACTTACAAGGATTCAAAACCTGAAATATAACATGTATTTAGGTAGCACCAAGTGCTCTGGTAACGCATAATGTGATGTTTGTATGGTTCTTTATTTGCCGTCAAGAGATTTGTTACATTTATTTACAAGAAATGTTTTTATGTATTTCCTCTATAGGGATTGCTTGGCGTTTTGTACAGAACCAGTCTGTGCAAGTTTAGCTAACGTTCTTGGCAACTGGGACAACCTACCTTCTCCTTTACCATCTGACATTAAAGAATACAAACTTTATGATGTGGAGACCAAATATGGTTTGCTTCAGGTATGACACAGATTGTCCTTATAATTTTCTTGTGCTTTTAGTATTAATGATTGTTTTATAAAGTTTGTAAACTGCCAAAGTTTTGTCTGCCTGTAGTAAATCAAATAACCAGGAAGAGAGGGATGATAGTGCCCTGATCACTGTAAGTATAAGAGAGGATGAACACTGGATCTTTTCTTAACCTTCTTGTGGAGGAACAATAGCTCCCAGGTTTTATTTGGTGAATATATTGATCAACTTTGAAAATAATTTTTGGTCTTATGCTGTGAGTTAATTGGCACTAGTAATCTCATCTGCTGATTACGCATCCATGTTTAATTTCCTTCATACATAATTTTTAAGACACAGCCTAAGATAGTGGTGAAAAATGGTTTCTTAGTTAACTTACTAATTTAACTGTGACCACAGGATCAGAGTTTTTGTAAATGTCTTACAGGATATTTGGGGAAATACTTAACCTGGAATAATAATCTTTTATTAACAGGTTTCTGAAGGCTTGTCATTTTTGCATAGCAGTGTGAAAATGGTTCATGGAAATATTACTCCTGAAAACATAATTTTGAATAAGAGTGGAGCATGGAAAATTATGGGCTTTGATTTTTGTATCCAGTCAACAAATCCATCTGAACAGGAGGTAACAGATCTTTATATTCATCATCATTAAATGTTGAATTCAGATCTTTTTCTGAAACCAGTTTCATTACCTTGAATTTCAGTACAGAATCTTTTAGTTAATATTCACCTCTATATTTTGTTGGCAGGAAGTTTGAACATATGGCACAGGTCTGGGCTGAAGTGCTGCCTTTGGTCATCAGAGAAAAAGAGTCTGAGATGGCTCAGTGGAGTCGAAATAGACTAGTGATGGTTTCAGATAGAGGCTGAAGCCTGTGCCACTTCTGCTCAGCTGCATGTCGGATGACATGTAAAGCTACTTAATTTAGTCTATTGCATCCACTCAGTGCCTGGTTGCTGCCTCCTAAAATGAATTCCCATCATAGCTCATGTTTCTCTCTTACAGCAGTGCTTTGATTTTATATTATTCTTCCCAACTTCAGTATTCAGACTTAACTGCATCAGCTAATCACTCTAAGCTACAGGCACAGATTCTTAACAGTTTTGCCTTACTCCGTTTCATTCATAATTGAATTTGAAATTTGAGTGGATCAATTTTTTCTGCTTGAGTTTCTTATTGAAAATGTTCTTTAAAAATCCCTAATAAATGTACTGTCTTTCACTTCTCTTGCAGCCAAAGTTCCCTTGTAAGGAATGGGATCCAAACTTGCCATCCTTGTGTCTTCCAAATCCTGAATATCTGGCACCAGAATATATTCTCTCCGTGAGCTGTGAGACAGCCAGTGATATGTACTCTCTAGGAGCTGTTATGTATGCAGTGTTTAATAAAGGGAAACCGATTTTTGAGGTCAACAAGCAGGATATTTATAAAAGCTTTAGTAGACAGCTGGATCAGGTATTTGTTCCGTTTGTAACTATTATTCATTGATTTTCGTATTTGAAAAGTTACTGTTTTAAAATAGGTTTAAATATTTAGAACACAATACCAGTGCTGCAACATAAACAATCCGATAATGGTATTATACCTTGCATGCTGTCTTTATGACAAGAAAAAAGAATCCTAGCAAAATACAGGAAATAAAAATGTGTAGAGAAAGTTATGTGTACCAGCTTTATAAACTACAAATTCATTTTTCACCTGATTTCTCTGTAAACCTGTTGAATGCTGTTCTTGTGGAATAAATATTTTACCTGTTGGGGTGAACAGTATGAAACACAAGGCAGTGAATGACTTATGTAGGACCACAGAAGATGGCTGAGTTTAGAGTGATTTGGTCACTTGACATGGCAATTGATATCCACTTAGCTGTCAGCTATTTCACATTCTTTGTGGACTATGAATATTAACAGAAGATAGTTACTTGGGTCAGCTGACATAATGTATGTTCATATGCAAGTTTCCTTGTCGTAACTTCTTTGGGTGCCTATTGCTTTAGTTGTGTGTACTGTATTTTAATGTGTGTAGACAACACCTCAGATAATATCATGTACCTGTTTAAAAATACTGGGTTTGTGTTCTCTGATAACCTGAACGCAATGAGAAGTTGGAGATAGGGAAATGTGACCTGAAGCAGGTAGGCTGTTGGGAGACAGCAAGAAGACTGTGAGGGATCAGAAGCAAATGGGTTATACAAGGGGAGAAGGGAGGGATATCAAAGGTGTGGGCAGAGAAACCATCAAAAAGTTGAAGTATAGTCCTATTGTGTATTGGAAATAGTTATATGCAGGATTTTCTGACTTCATGGTGCATGTGCTTAAATTACTTACGCAGCTGAGCCGTTTAAGCTCCAGTACTCTTCAGAATATACCAGAGGAGGTGCGTGAACATGTAAAGCTACTCTTAAATGTAGCTCCAGCAGTCAGACCAGACGCAGATCAAATGACTAAGGTCAGTTCATGGAAAATACAGTAGCCACAGGAAAGAGGGAAAATAGTGTTTGATTTGTAGAAACAATAGAGCTATCTTAAAGTGTTTTCCTGTTAATCGTTTTAGTTGAAATGTTAAATATTTTTTAACTATTTTGGAAATAATGATGTTAGTTGATGCCAAAAGTTGTCCTTATGCTGACCTTTATTAATATGGAAGAAGTGGGTGCTAAAACAGAATTTACAATAATCATTCAGTGAAGCACTATTTTGTTGCTTTCCAATACAGTTGGATGTATTTTTTTATGCTATGTTTTTATACAGTTCAGTCTTTAAAACTGTATTGGAAGGATTTTAAAGCCATAAAATGATAAAGGGCAGTAAAGGTAAGGATTAACTTTTGGATTACAATTTTTGGTGTATTCTTAAATGTGCAGAAGAATAGCCTAAAATATATTCAGAGCTTACTTGCCATAATAAAGCAAAAATTAATTGCAAGTTGGATAATTTAAGTTTTAATTTGACAAACTCTTCCTCTGCTTTTCTATCTGAAAGTTGAACTTAAAAGCATGATTCTTCCTTTGTCTTATACCCTATTTTCTCGTATCTGATAGCCTTTCAAGTTCCTGCTTAGATTTGCTTAGCTAAACAATTTTCTTCTTTTCCTGTCATATAAAAAGATTGTATGTAGAGAGAGAAATCAGTATCTTAACAGTTGGAAGAAATAGTGAGTGAAGAAGGGAGGGGAAACAGGCAATGGTTCTGCCAACATATATGCTGAAAGATAGGAAGTGAGGAAATTGGCAAATGTTACTCAGGTTTCAACTAGTCTGAAGGACTACAACAAACAAGTCTGTAAATGATTGTAATAAGCAGTATGGTTTATAAAGATGTTAGGTCTCTTTTACCAGGTCTGCACTGCAGGCTGAATTGTAGGGTGGAGATATTAGAGCTTTAGATCTAAAAGCAGTTTGTTACGGCTAGCCTGACATCAGCTAACATGAAGCTAGAGATGGGCGAGTTTACCTTGCTAGTTTGAACTACTTTGTGTTAATCTGTGTAGAATTCCACGATCACATACCTTTTGGTGTGTGATCTGGAAGACAGAATTTAAGTCCACAGCGAAGACTAGCTTCAATTCTCTGCTGATAGATTATTTTCTTCTGTATTGCCCTACTCCAATCTGCTTTTCTGATTCTTTTCTTCTTTATTGCCTTACTCTTATTAGCTTCTCTTCTGCATTATACAGAGCTTCTTTAAATGCTTTTACATCCTTTCTTTTTGCACAACTTTTCAACTGAAAACAAGATTCTTAATAGTCTGAGAGACCATGCTTTGTCTTTAACAGTTGCAAGCCCGTGAGTTTTGATATATCCCTCCCTAAAAATGAGAGCTAGCAGGAAGGAGGAGTCTTAGCCATGCAAGTTTTTGAAGGCAGAACTTTTCATTCCAGTCTGTGTATATCTTGGATAGATGCTGTTCTACTCTTTTCATTCATCTGCTAACTGAAAACTGAATGTTGGGGGATGGATTTTTATATAAACAGTCTTGTTATCATCGTGCATTTTTATCAATCTAACAATGAAGCAGCTCTATCAGTCTTAATATTATATACCACAGCTATAGATGAAACACCCTGGTATTTAGTTGGTGCCATCTTTGTAAGTCTGCTCTGTGTATATACATTGTTACACAATACTTAAGAAGGCCTGTGCCTTCTTTGCTGAAGTAATGCAAACATGGGAGAGCATGTGAGAAATTACGGTGGACAGGATATACGAGTGGGTCAGAACATTGGAGAGAAATTAATATAATTACACATTTATTGCATATATATGCATGTTGATTCATTATAAGTTTCCAGGGGTAGTAGCCAGATCTGGGTGGTGTAGTAGGTAATCCTTTGTTGTAATATTAACTGGCATAATTATTCCTAGGAGAACTTTTAATCAAGGTTTTTACTTTTCACTCAATTTTTTTGTAGACAAAACATTATCTCATCTACAATAAGTTAACTTAGATACACATAACATGCACGGGTTTGTTTAAAATGCTAAGAAAATGCTGTCTTAATAATGAACCTTTATCTGTGAATATTATACTACTTAGTATGTAAAAATGTACTTTTCTAATTGTTAGTTGCAGGTGTGTCATTGTAACGGTTTACTGTAGTGCATTGAGAAGGTAAATAGGTGGTAATATTATGGAATCTTTGTAACAGTGTCAATGTTGTCTCCCTCCAGATCACAAGCTTTTAATCTTATTTTTAGATACCATTCTTTGACGATGTAGGAGCAATGACGCTTCAGTATTTTGATTCATTATTTCAAAGAGATAACCTTCAGAAATCACAGTTTTTTAAAGGTCTACCAAAGGTTCTGCCAAAACTTCCTAAGGTATGTCTGCATGATGTCTTGAAATTGTGAGTTTAAAACTATGTGAACATCTGTTAACGTTCTGAATCTGGGAATGCAGGACTTTGTGTAGCATTGTACTGTAATACACTGCCACGAGACTGTCAGAATAGAGTAGTAGGAAAAAAGGGGAGATTAGAAAATAATTGGTGTGGAAATACTCCTCAGCTAGCAAGAATTCTTTAAACAGAAAATGGCAAATTGTGCTATCATTATGTGTAAGGAGCCATCATTTGCATGTCTTCTTGCAGTTCATCCCACTTTGAAAGGGAGTTGTCTCTGCTCCACTTACAAGTCTTTCCCTTTGTTTGCAGATGTTATCATAGCTCTTTGAAGTCATATTGCCACCTTTTGTTCCAATAAGATTGCTTCAAGTTTTTTCATAGCAAGGCAGTACTTTAATGTTGAGTGATGCAAAACTTCTTCCCTCAACAGACGAAGAGCTCTCTTGTGCTCGCAGTGCCCAGAAACCTCAAAGGCAAATGTCTGTCATTACAGATTTTTGCTGTGTAGTGTTAGACACTATGTCTAGACTGACTCCTTATCCTGGCTCAGAGCTTCTCAACCATTGCATTAAATGTCTTTATTTTTAATTCTGTTTTTAACTGCACAGTGCAAAATTCAAACTTCATGTTTAATACTCTCTTCTTTTTAATTTAGTAATTTTTTCCTTTGATCAGAGATCGTTGATGCTTTGAATTTGGAAATAGACGGGATGTATTTCACCTAACTTTAGACAGCCACTGACTAACCTAATCATCTTCAGGGCATTCATTTTTTTTTCTATCTTGAAAGTATATTTTATGAGGAAGGGGACTGTGCCCTTGAACTGTGTATTTCTCTTTATTGACTTTAAAAGCATTTAGGGATGTCTACAGGAGACATCCACGGTGTAAATACCTATTTTGTCAGCAGAATCCCATGTAGGGAACGTACCTAGAGTTTTACTGGGAAGTATAGTAGGATTATGTGTTTGTTCAGTGTGTGATGGGGTACTAATACCTATTTTGTCAGCAGAATCCCATTTAGGGAACGTACCTGGAGTTTTACAGGGAAGTCTAGTAGGATTATGTGTTCAGTGTGTGATGGGGTACCGAAAAACTGATTATTTTGAGGGAGGTGATGGGGTCTTTTTTAAGGTTCTTTTTAGGGTCTTTTTTAAGAAAGTATATAGAATAAGGTTTCCAAAACTCATGTACGTGACTGAAAGCCCTATTTTCTGTACAGTTAATTGCTTTTTGTTGACCTTCACAGTTGTTATAGTCTCCACTTATGTTTTGAGTGCAAACAGAGAAAAGTAAGCAAAGTAGTACAGTGTAAATTAGCTAAAGTATACTGTGAAAATAAAGAGTTCAAAATTGAAAATTGTCTATCTGCTTTTTGTAAATATCAGGTTAATACAAAAGCTGTTGAGCTGGCACAATAGTAACTTCCTGCAATGCAGTACAATGTGATGCATGATTGTTTTTTTTCTTTTAGCGTGTCATAATTCAGCGAATTTTGCCTTGCTTGACTTCTGAATTTGTGAATCCTGATATGGTACCCTTTGTCTTGCCTAATGTTCTCCTAATTGCTGAGGAATGCACCAAAGAAGAATATATCAGGCTCATTCTGCCTGATCTTGGTCCTGTTTTTAAGCAGCAAGAACCAATCCAGGTATGTTAATGCTGTTCAGATCACAATTTCTCTCTTTGGTGTTTTTTCCCTGAAAAATGACTAATTTTTTTATTTCCCTTTTGCAGCTTCACACAGATTTCCCAGCCTGCTCTGTAGTTGTCCAAGCAGTCAGTCTTGATTCATATGAAATAGATTTTTTCCAGGAAATTCACAAAACCTCTACTCCTGCTTTTTTAGATGGGTTTTGTGAGGGTATATTTGCATTTATAGATGAGATTAGATTAGCAAAAAAGGAAATATTTAATTTACCACTCAATTCTTCAATTTTTGGTTGATTGTAGAAGGTATATTTGTAAGCATTTTATCACTCACCTAGCCAATCTGAGGAGTTTTGTACAGTACAATATTTGCACCAGTAGCTGAGTCTGTCTATTTTTTTCTTGAATCCAGATTGCTGACACTGGGATCATGGGGTGGAAAAGTTGTAACTTTTACACTCTCTTAAAAGTGCTGTTTATTGATGATAATAAAATAGAGTTTGTTTGAGGGCTGTGTACAAATTTGTGAAATTTGTTTCATTTTATTTGGCAAATATGTTGTGTAAGTAAAATGCACTTTTTTTTTGTTGTTCACATGTATAAAAGTAGTAAGACATTATCATAACTGTAAAGGAATAAAACGCTTGCATCCTTTTGTCAACACCATGTGCATGATGATTCCTGAGGCTTCTGCCACTAGGTTAGGCATTGTGCCTCTACAGATAAAAGGCAGTTATGCATTCTTTCTAGCTCACCTTGTTTTACTGCTGGATGCTGTTATTTCTCTGCAGAGCACTTAAGGGGCAGGATAAACAGGAATGAACAAGTAGACCTTTTATTTCTGGGTTTCAGAAACCCGGATCAGAGAACTCTCATTATACTGGGGAGGGGGAAAAAGGCACGATTGTGTAACTGAGAATACCTCAGAAAATTAGAACTACTTAACGTTCTTTATTTTTGGTACCCTGGGGCTCTATGTTAGATTTGTTGTTGTCTTGAAAAAAACTAAATGTCTAACCAACCGAAAGCCAGTGAACATCTTACTTGTGCTGTTTCATCCTAAAAGGTAACATTGTGTTTTGCTACCTTTAACATCAGATTTGTGAGACAATCCTCACTGCAAAAAGTTTGTCTCAAAGTTATATCTGGAGCATAATGGGCATAAAAGCTGTTTTATTTCTTGAGAAATGAGGAAAGCAAAATACAGACTTGGGGTCAGCTCTTAAAGAGCGAGCTTTGCGAAGTTTTTCTTTAGCTTTCTAGAAACTGTACATTAAATTCTTATGTTGACATTTTTAATGCACATGAAGTACTAGATGGCTTATTCAACTCTTATTTCTATGGTCTTTTTAGTATGGCAAAGTTTAAGTAATCTAGGACAGGTTTTCAGAATTAATATACCAGGAGCTCAGGAAAAAAAATACAAAGGTGCAGAGCGCCAGAGCGCAGAATTCCAGGTCTGCCTGTTTTTGTACAAGACAAAAATGTGCAGGTCGTGTGTGTTTGTAGCTCATGGATAGGGCGGATGGGGAAGGTGTCAGTGTTTCTTCCAAACATTCTCCCAAGATGTTTTAGATTTGTATGAGGCCCATTATGTGGCTTTTGTAGGGTACTTGAGTTAGGAAGTGAATGTATCATAGCGAGGCTCCTGTAATTCAGTGTGAAGAAATTGTTACCCAGTGTTCATTATGTCTTTGTATGAGGGAATCTATAATATGAAAATTGAATATTTAGTTAAACTACAAATTGTCACCGTACTCTTGGAGTTAGCATGGGGTAACTGGTATGCTGTAAATTACCATCCTAGCTTACTCTGACATAGCTTCCCGTGTAGACAAATCCTTAATTTATATCTGGGGGAATCCACAGAGAGTTAGCATATGAAGTACTGTAAATTCATATTCTAATACAGTACACCAAAGTGTACCCTGACAAGTACTGGGCTCTGTATTAATCAATGAAGCACAGTTTTAGCATTATTGTCTGGAGTGCAACTGCTGCTGCTTGCTTACTAGAGGGTGTGTTTGATTCTGTGACTGTGACTGTAGTTTCTACTTAAATAGATAAAAAGTATCAAATATGATCTTAGAAAGCTAAAAATAAAAGGACTTCATTGGAACAGCATGAACTACATCCGAGTTAAGGACAGGCAGAGAGCTTTATCTTGTCTTAGTTGAAAAGCATTGACAGCCAGTGGAAAATAGCTGAACTGCTTCTGTGAAATCTAAATGACTGTATCGTGCAATTTTTAATTTTAAAGCAATCTGTTACAAGTTCAAACATCTTGTTCTTATTTTAAAGAAACTTTTCTAATTGTTAAATAACAGGTTCATTCATGTCCTTTTCAAATTTGCAAAAACAATCAAAATGATCCCTCTCCAAAATATATATTTAGCTAACATAGAAACCATCATGCCACAGTATTACAGGATTGCTAGACAAGTGAGCAATGTTATGAGCACATGGATGTTTCAAAAAGCCAATTTTAGGACAAATGAAAATTCTTTATGCAAGAATAATTATCAAATCTAACTTTAAAACTGATCTGGTGCATCTCACCCTAATTCTCCCAAATTTGGGGATATTGCATCAGAATCCGTGTTCGTGGAATGAATGAATGAGTCTGTGTGTGTCTGTGTGTGTGTGTGTATATAGAATAGGACAGCACACATTATCTGCAGTTTAAAAGAATTTCTTCCCTGTAAAGGAAGCAAATGAAAGGGGAAATTTATATATGTGGTTTTGGTACACTTGTATTTCTACACTCTGATGCTTCTGTTTATTTAACATACAAGCACTGATTGCTGCATACTTTTAGACTTAAAAATTGAAATCTTTTCCTCCTATGAAATACCTGGCTTTCTATTATGAATGTGATACCATTCACCACGATTTATCCATCTAGTCTAACCTATTTTCTAAAAGGAGTTTAGATGTCAGTGGATAGTCAGTGTCACCTGTAGGAAGTTCTCTCACCTATGTGAGATGATACAGAGTTACATAGCTCTCTGTATTGGAGACTGAGCTGGGATGAGTAATTTAGAATAGCAGCTAACTTTTAGATGGCTAAGCCTTAGCAAGGTGAATCCCACTGTATAAATGTGCTATTCTAGTGTTGCTTTTTAGTTTAACGTGATGTATTTTTTTGTTGTTGTTTGAGATTTTTTATGATCTATAATTTCCATACAAAATAGAATAAAGCTATTTTGTGTCCATATAGTAGCTGTAATATTCTTTTAGTTCTGTCCCTATTTTGATTCTAGATACAGAGGGAATGCAGCTTTTATATGTGGAGTTGTGATCAAATGCTTTAAGGACAGCATTTGAGCCACAGGTTTTTGAAAGGTCAGCTTTTTCAATAGTGATGTGTATATAGAGATTTTCTTTGGGTGGATTTTAACAAAAGACTGTTGTAAATAGAAACAAGAACTCCCTCCTTAGTCATTATGATTTATTTCACGAAGATTAGTCTAGAACACACATATTTTGTTTGATTTGTATTTGCTGTTTTTAAAATGCAATAATATGTCAAAGTGTTTTTTGTCTTCCATGCCTTCAGGCAAGCAACATGGTAAGTGATCACATTTACAAGAAAACTTCTGAAGTTTTTGTAATATGATACAACACACTTTAGATTGTAAGTATATGTTTCTGGAGTTAAAACTTTTGGCTTCTGAATTGTCCTTCTTTTAATAGATCTTGTTGATCTTTCTGCAAAAAATGGACTTGCTTCTAACCAAAACTCCACCAGATGAAATAAAGAACAGTGTTTTACCAATGGTTTATAGAGCCTTGGAAGCACCCTCAATTCAGATCCAGGTATAGTAATTGCAGCCTTTATTTAAAAGATTTTTTTTCTCTTTTCTTTAAGCTGATGCGCCAACATTTTATGTAACCCTGTGTTTGTTTACTTGAAAAAAAAAAAAAAAAGATAAAGCTATGTAATATTCCTGAATGTTGAAAGAGATCAATGTTTTATTAAAGAAAACTTGTTTTAGTAAAATAAAATTTAGTTCCCCTACTTTCCAGGGAGTAACCACTTGATTGTTGTTCTAATGCACTTAACCTAAATTCTGACTAGCCGCCATAGCAAAAATGCTTTATAAAGCATTGTCTGTGCCACAGAAACTACGCAGGCATGAGTGCTCTTACCAGTCAGTGAGAGTTGGCTTATTCTGAGGTCCCACTGGTAAGAACGTGTGCTGGCAATTACCTTGGAAGACTTGATTTCCTGTAAAATCATACTAATATGCCTTCTGGTGACATTTTTATGTATCCATATTTTAATTTTTCTCTTTATGCTTTCTCTACCTTTCTAAGGTTCCTTTTTTTTTTTTGGAGATCTTTCTTCTACTGGAATTAAGTTCCAGTTACCCAAAGGCATTCAGGAGTGGGAGGGGGATGTAAACAGGAAAAATATTTCTTAAAGAAGGATTTGGATAATCAGATGTGACTCACCTTTGCAAAGCCTTTGCAGTATTATGGAGGAAGTTTTTTGTTTCTAAATACCTGGCTTGAGGGTTTTCTGCATCAGTAGTTTGGTTGCTCAGGTATTTAGTTGCAACCTATACTTAATATTGCTGTCTCTTATTTTTTTGAGATGGGGCTGAAATTGAGTATTTTTCTCTCTGTTGCTTAAGTATGTTTAATCTTGATATGCTCTTTTATCTTTCAGCCTATCATTGTGCTGCTGCAGTGTTGTTGATAGTACTTATTCAGATTTGCTTGATTTATGTAGGAAAATGTTAGTTTGATGTAATAACAGGGGTTTTTAATATAAAGGTGTTTTGTGAAAATGCAAGATATTCTTGCTATCCAAATATTTTATTATAAATTTATGAATATTCTTTTTGAAATCCATTTTCCAGGGTTGTATCTGCATATCATGATGCTTTATTATTCCAGCTATTTTTAAGTAAGTCCAGTAGATTAAGGTCAGCTTAGTTGAATATGATGTTTCCTTAAATATTTCCTTAAAAGGAAAGCTTAAGCAGACATTTGAAACTAATTTTGATGTTGAGTAATATTAGCACTAATTTAATAATAAATATACATGTTTCTTTTTAAACTTATGCACATTTTTTTTTATAGGAGCTTTGCCTAAACATAATTCCCACGTTTGCCAATTTAATAGATTACCCATCAATGAAAAATTCATTAATTCCAAGAATTAAAAATGCATGTTTGCAAACTTCTTCTCTTGCTGTAAGTATCCTAACAATTTTGTCTCTTTTTAGTCCTCAGCACATATTGTTACCCTTAATTACTTTGGCTTTTCTGCTATTGTGTCTTTAAAGAAAAGCCCATCAGTGTGCCCCGGTTTCCTTTTGAGCTTTTTTATTTTTTACAAATACAAAAGCACCGTTTACGTTTTTACTCTGACTATTTTTAAAGTTATTAGCAACTTATTATTGTTAACAATACTGTAAAAATTGTTGAAGCCTGTTCCAGAATAACAGTGTTTGTTCTGCGGAAAAGCCAATGTTTTGCGAGCAATGTGTAACTATATAAATTTTCCTTTCATGACACAAAAGGGTTTTTTTAACTTGTCTTGAATTTTCAGATGTGAAGGTCGTAGTTTCAGCAGCACATGTTTTCTTCTAGGTGTGAGTTTTATATGTTTGGGTTTTTTTTCTTAGGCAAAAATATAGTAAAGAGTTTTTTAATTCTTGTTGTACTTCACAGGTCCGGGTAAACTCACTAGTGTGCTTAGGCAAGATTTTGGAGTACTTGGATAAATGGTTTGTGCTTGACGATATTTTACCTTTTCTACAACAAATTCCATCCAAGGAACCTGCAGTGCTAATGGGAATTTTAGGTAATTAATATTTTCAACTTTCTGCTCTTTCGTGCTTTGATGTTGTACATCTGAGAGCTTTCTGTATGATCACTGATAATGTTTACATAGTGTATTGCTAAAATGACTACTAAAAACTTCCCGTTTCTGGTTCTGAAGTGCACCCTTCTTCAGCTGCCTTATGTGTTGCTGGTACTTCTGAACACCAGTACGTACATTTGTAGTCTTCAAGGCCCAATGCGGTTCTGAGTACTCATTGCAGTTCTTGGATGGTGACACTTCATGGACTGTATGGCCCACACAGGCAGAGAGGCTGTGTTCCTCAGGAGAGTATATGATCTGTTGTCTTTCAGATGCTGCTGAAGCTTTTAAGATGTCACTATTGCCTTCTCTTGCACTCTTGCGTGTCAGATGCTATAAATGATTGCCTACAAACCTACTGCTCTTCACTGCACGTTTTATTAGGCTCATTTTGTTGGACATTTAAATAAACATGGCTGCCTTTGCACTGAAATGGAGCATAGTCTGGGTCAGGTTTCACAAAACAGTTAACAAAACCTAATGGCTTGTTACTTCTGGAAGGGGAGGCCTCACTCCCAGTTGTGCTCTCCTAGTGTCGCTCTGGCGCTTGCCTAACTCAGGATGCGTGATTTTAACAACTTGAATGGGCTCGAGGAGACCAGATGACCAGAGTCACTGCCAAGAAAGAGGCGTGACTGCTTGGCCAAGTCTGGAAGACAGTGACCGTTTCTCTTACTGACAATACAGTAGTTGGCAGAAGACCATTTGTAACAAGCTGAGCTGTACTGGCAGCAGCCCTCATTAAACGCTAATACGTGGTGGTAGCATTATAGCTGCTGCTCCTACTTGAGAATCTCCTTGCTTTTTGCTTTTCTGAACCTTTGCCTTGTGTTTGCTGTCTGAGAATGAGCAGCAGTGTATCTTTTACTTTAGTTGTATTACTCCTGAATTTTGCTTGGATACAGTGGATAAGTGAACCCTAGTCTGGAAATGGTAGGCTGAAATCAATTTTATGTATTTGGGCTCTTCTTTTTTCCAGAATCATACAACCTTCCATCTTGTGTGTGATATCTTCATTGGCCAGCTGACAGCTCTGTTCTAATACTAACCATAGAAAGTGAGGAAAGCTGCTGCTTCTTTTGTGCTAGTATGTTCGGTATTTGCCACCAGAGGTGGACTGTTTAGGCAGAGAAATTCTCCTGTCAGAAACACTGTAGAACTTGTAGGCTTAACACTGGATCTCTCATGCCTGCCAGTATTCTTTTTTCAATGACTTTAGAATAAATAAAGACTATGTGTAACACAGCCCCAAACATTTGGGTAAGAATCTTTGTAAAATGCGATCAGAGAGCAGTGTGATAGTTACTCCTAGAGACGTGCATATGCTGGGAGAGAATACATCCTTAGGTAACACAGCTTAATTTCTCAGTGACAGTTTGTCAGTTTGTGATAACTCAGTTGCTCGTGATCTGTTCAACGATGCATATTCTCAGACAATTGACCTGGGCAATACATTGACTAATACCAGGTTTCATAGCTGCAAAGTATTACTTTGGACCTCCTCTTGTTCTGAACTTTAGCAAAGCCTCTTGCTATAATATGTTTGTGTTGTGGATGAGTACTTAGCTTTTATGATTCTGTTTGTATCTGCTTGCGCACAGAGCCAATGTATGTGCAGATGATGGATACATATAGAGTGCTACTTCGTTCACATTGTTTACTAAACTTAACAATTTTTGCTGTTTTGATGTTGTATGTCAGGTATTTACAAATGTACATTTACTCATAAGAAGTTGGGAATTACCAAAGAACAGCTTGCCGGAAAAGTATTGCCCCATCTGATTCCTCTTAGTATTGAGAACAATCTTAATCTCAATCAGGTAGGAACATGACTGTTGCATGCTTTTACTTGATAAATTGGCAGAGAATAGGTTTAAACTGTTGTCAGAGAAAAAATCATACGTTACTGTATGTCTTTGTCTCTCGTAAAAGCAAACAAACAAAACCAAAAAAACCTTCCAGTATTACTGTATTTGCATGTCTAAAGCTTGTTATTTTTCAGTGAATTTGACTGATCTAGTATAAAATTTCAGAATGATTACTATCACCTTCTAAATATCCTGCAAAAGCAGTTAGCTGTTAACAAAATTACAATTCAAATGAAAAGCTAAAGCATCTTTATGTTTTTTCCCTTGCTCTTGTTTGTAAATGTTGCAGATAATGTAGAATTGCAATCATGGGATTTTTTCTGAAAATGAACCTGGTAATATTTATTTGTGGGGTTTTTTTTGTCTGGGTTGCCCTACTTTTTTTTTTTTTGTAGCAATATATATTTTTCACTGTTTCAGTATACACTCTGCTTGTAGTTAGGTATCTAATGGAAGGTAGTGAAGGTGGATTATAACTTATTTAAAAATCTGCAGTTTATCTGATATTGTGTATTGTAAGTTTTATGCGATACTACTTTTAAGTAATATATGTCTGAATTCCATCACTGCAAAATCCAAACTTCTTGTATATTTTTTTTACAGTTCAATTCTTTTATTTGTGTCATAAAAGATATGCTTAATAGATTGGAGGCAGAGCATAAAACAAAACTTGAGCAACTTCATGTCATGCAAGAGCAACAGAAGTAAGTGTTTATTTATGTGTATATTAGAGAAGGAACAAATGAGCAGAGATAAATTTCAGATCATTTTTTAGGAAATGTGAGAAATCTCTAGCCTTAGAAATAAAAAAAAAATCTAGGTAATTCATATGTCAGTAGTTGAGAAATACCTCAGATAAGCACAGTTGTCAGAAAAGATTTATTCGTCCTAGAATTATAATAGTATTTTATGTCAGTGGTTTTATAGAGTAAAATCTTTTATACAGTTCACAGTTTATTATTTTGAGTCAATAATTTTTAATTAATTCATTAAGTGTAAAAGTTCATACTGAGCTCCACTAGTACAGTTTATGTCTTGCTTCTGTATTCTAAGTTACTCTTCTGTAGTTGTTGAGAACATAAACTATACTGAGAAACCAAAACATTGCACCCTTTTAGAAAGTACTGATATTTGAAGATATTTTGAGCTATTTTATGGAGTCTGATATGAGGTGAGATTTCTGACTCAAATTAACCTGGGCTACACAAAGTCTGTGTCACCTCGTTCAAAAGGAGGAACTAAGACCATGTGAGGTGATCATTAGGAAACGTTTACATTTCAGAACATTAACATTTTCCAGTCTCCTACAGGCATTCTGTAAAAATGGCAGTGCTCTCATAATGCAATTTCTTTGATTATTTAAATGCAGAAGAATAATCTGCGTTCTTGAGTTAGTGTTGTGGATGTGACTGCAAAGTTATCTTTTTGTAATATGTATACTCTGTACTATATAGATCGTTGGATATAGCTAACCAAATGAGTGTGTCTGAAGAGGCAAGATCTAGTAGTACAAGTAATCAGGTAAGTGACAATATTTTATTGTGTTACATATAGAAATGTGAAATTTAAAATTTCGTAGTCAATATTTATGTTAATTTAAATGACAACATTTCAAATAATTATGTTTTGTTTCTTTGAACCTAAACAGATTGACAAGGTATTTAATACTAGTGGAACTGACCTTCTAACCAGTGGATCTGAGAGTAAAGAGAATGACATGTCATCAACACAGAAAAAGGTGTGTTTTACTTTGTTTTGGAATCGTGCTACATCCATCTGTCTAATAAAAGGCTGATATGGTTGCATAAAAAGAGTATGTGTAGATAGTTAGCATATTTAAAGCTTTAAAAGAAAAGCTAACTGCTTTTGTATAGCACAGCACCATACATAGTCACATGTGAAGGTCCACTGAAAAATGTTCAAATCATATCCTTGAATTTCTGTGAAAGCCTTTCCTTAAGGCTATGCTTTGTACATAGGCATAGCTTTGTACAAAGCAGGCAGCAATTAGGATTATAAATTTTTGGTCATTTTCTTTCTCCTTAATTATAGATTTCAATGAAACTGAAACTTCAGCAGTGGATTTAGATAGGAAAATCAAAACAGGCAACTTAATGATAAAATTACAAACAGAGATGAAGGTAAAATGTAGAATTTCATGTAGTAGCAGAGACTAACATTTACTGCACAATTCAAAGATAAGTGAAAGTGACCAGTCACTATGGGGATAAATACAAGAAGCAAAGAAAAAGCATGGCATGGCATAGAATAGTGAACACAAGCATTAACTATTGTAGAACTCTTTTCATGTTATTAATTATGTAAATGGCTTCCCAGAATCTAGACATTTTATCATTTCCATTCCTAATTGTCTGAACCCTCTCACTAATTTTACACTAAGGGGGAATGATTTTGATTTTATCCTTTAACATTAACAAAAGCAGAGTTAAAATCCTGAAACGCCTCTTGACCAATCTTAAAATAAAATTCCCTTTCCAACTCCATGGTCAATTGCGGTTCTATTTCAAGTGCCTGTTGGCAACCATATGAAAACAAAAACTGTGAAGAACACCTTCTCTTATGCCCAACCTTAAGAAGACAAAGCTAAAATGTTTTTGTTGTGATACCTCTTTATTTGAGATCTGCTCAAATTTCTCTTTATGCTACTTTTAAATACATTTCAGCAATATGATAAATATTGTGATGGATTTTGTGCTTATCCACTTTATCTTTTGTATAAATAATATATATTGTTCTACCACATATTAAAACAACAGTGCTATTTATGAAATAAAATATCAGTGTACAAATAACCGTTCTGTGTAACTTAGTGTCAGTACTTTCCCTTTTAAAGGCATCACTTACACTAGAAGAGAAGCAAAAGCTAGCTAAAGAACAAGAACAGGCACAGAAACTGAAAAGCCAGCAACCTCTTAAGCCGCAAGCAACTGTAATAACACCTCCAGTGAAGCAGGTGAGAAAGAACAAACTACTGCAGTGTTTCCATTGGAGCTGTAATGCATTTTCCTTTCGAGTGCTGTATGCATTTGGCATTTTTTTGTCCTGGGAGTCACCTTTGTTTTCACTGGTAGTACAATGGCACAGCTGTGAAAAACTAAATCTAATTTTAATCTGCCTTCCATTTGTATCATTAGCAATATTCCCCACTTTTTAAATTTCAGGAGTTTCCAAAGGAATAATTATTATTGGAAGGTCATTGTTCTAGATAAGGAAGAAGCACATATTAAAAAAGGTTTTGCTCTGAAGAGTTTATTAACTAACTACATAAAGGGCTTGGGAATAAGAATAGGATAGGAATGGGACGTGTAAGCAAATGTCACAGTAGTACTTCGTGTATAGTCTTAGTTGATAAATTAAAGCTGCGTAAGAATTCTAAGTAGCAAAGAATGAAAATAACCTAATTGCTTTTGTGTATGACTAAATTTCATGCCTAATTCCATGCAGTAATTTCCAGTTTTTGAAAAACGAATGCCACTTCTGCAGGAGAAATTATAAAGACTGTTGCTAGAGTGTTTGTACAAGAGTAGCATTTAACTGTGTTTTGTGTATTTTGCAGACAAAAGACTTGACAGATACCTTGATAGATAATATGTCATCTTTGGCTAGCCATTCTATCAACAAAGCGAAAGTTCCACCTTCAAACAGCTTCTCTACTGTCCCTTCGATGGGCGTTGGAATGGGATTTTCATCATCTATTGACAACACAAAGAGAAATATAACAAATGGACTAAATACTAATATGGGTTTTCAGACTGCTGGATTCAGTATGGGAGCTGGTCCCACCACTCAGAATTTCTTCAGTGGTCCAAGTGCAACAACAACAACCAAGATGAACATTGTACCAACTGCCAATATGCCAAATTACAGTCCTATGAATGCTGCCTCTGCAATCTCTCCACTGACACAACAGAACAGACCCCCAGATATGTCTGCTTTAGATAATCTTTTTGGTCCTCAAAAACCCAAAGTTAGCATGAAACAGTTGGCTCAACAGAAATCAAGCCAGTGGGTTAATCAGTTTGTACCCCCGCAAGGGTCCCCAGGTGCAAGCACTTCAGTCTTGGGACCTCAGATGAACATGATAGGACAACCTGGCTTTGGTATACAGGGTAATCCTTTCTTTGCTCCTCAGAACTTTGCACAACCAGCAAACACAATGACAAACAGCAGTTCAGCTAGTAATGACTTAAAAGATCTTTTTGGGTAAAATGTTTTGTTTTGTTCTTTCAAAGATCGATGAAATTTGGATCATGGGTAAGCTGATTAACATCTTTTTTTGATTAGTACAAGCATGACTTGGGGAAACTTTCAGCCCAGCAAACGAAAGACTTTTGCACTGGAAAAAAAGACTTGATTTTGCATTCACTTGGTACTGCAGTGGAATTGCGTAAGTGCAAAGTCATCTTACATGCTAAAGATTTCCTGTCTCTTTACCGAGCACCAGAGCACTGAAGGTAGGATGCATATATTCAATCAAAAAAGAAGCAGCTAAGTGTTTCAGAATTATTCAGAAGCGTTCTCAATCAACTCCTGTGAAATTTCCTACAAAATTTTGGTTTTTAAATTCAACAAAAATGCTTAGGGGGTAATAGTGCTAGTGAATGCAATCCTGCAGCCTAGTCCTTTCAGTGTCTGCGAAATTCTTATTGATCATTTGTCTTGCCTGAATTTAGCACAAACTGTCATTTTGCCTTATGACAGTTTGCAAAAAGTAAATTCTTATGCTGCCTCAAAAAGTTTTGTTAGCCATGCTACACGGAAAGAGCTCTAACCAGTATCTGTGTAAGAGACAAGAACAGAAAATGTTTTGTATTTCTTCCCTTGTAAGATAATTAAAATTAATGTGGTAATAAACTACAATAAGATTCAGGAGGCATAAGAAGCTGTTTTAGAATTTTGTGCTAGTTTGGGACAGAGTAAGAACACTGCTCCGATGGTCACGCTCATTTACAGCCTGTTTCACAATGCCAGATCCTTGTTACCAGCCCCATAGCAAAAGCAGCATGCCACTTAAGCAGCATTTACAGTGCATTTGGTGACATGATCACATTTCTTATATATTCCAGTGTTTTGGCTAATTTGATACTGCTTCTAACTGGTGTGAAAAAAGAATATGAGTAGTTATGGAACCTCCTAAAAAGAATGTTCTCTGTAAAATTCAGATGTTGACTGCCCCAACTGTCTTAACTAAGCAGTTCTGTGTAACTAAACACACACTGTTTAGTTACACAGAAATATCTTGAATTACTGCATAGATTTTGGCTCCGTTGGGAAGATGGAAAAGGATTGTCTCATACAAGTTGCACATGGTTGCGTGAAAAAACAGAGTGCCATAAATTGCCTTGACTAGAATAAACCATTTCATTTTAATTTTGTTTTAACTCAAGTCCTTATGAAGGATAGATGAATATGAGGCGAGTTCTCAAATACAGATTTGTAAGCTCTAGAATATATGGTAAATACACAGGTATTTCAGATCCTTTTTATTGTATTACTCCAAATTTAATAAAGCTCTCCAGAAAACCAAACAGTAGTTTCTTCTACTTCCCAGAAGGTGTATGTTCAGCTTGCCCATGATAGAATCTCTGCTCTGTCAGATACTACTGTTGGATTTTAACTTTTTCTTTCCTAGGAATTTCAGGAGCTTTCTTACATAATGTTTTGAAGACTATAGCTGGCTATTTTGAGAAGGAAAGAACTAGTTACCTTTTTTATGGAAAGCCTACAAGCTTTATTTTTCAAAGCCTTTCACTGAAGAAATTGTTCTTTCATTTGCTGCTTAAGAAACCAAAGGGCCTTATGCTGTAAATGTGACTTGTATTTTGTTATATTTCCACGGTTCTAAGCGGTAATAGCATTAAGCATATTTCTTAAAGAATTGTTTATGTATTATAGCTGCTGCCTTAGTCCTATTATTTTAAAATACCTGGGACCAGTGAAATTGTGGTTTAGAAAACAATACCTAACACGTCGTGATGCTTATGTGCTGTTAATATTCATGGTAAACATTGTAGGTTATGTTAAGGTATCTGTGTAAACTTAAGTACAATACTGGAACTGTTAAACTATTTCAGTTCATTTACAGTTACTAATACCCTATACTTTCAATTACACTAATGTCTTCTTTTTGAAAGCTATGTTGTGTTAGGGTAACTTAAGGCAGGCCTTTGAAGAATTACTTGAATCTGTATTCCTCTAAATTATTTGGAAAATAAGTTTATATTAAAAATAACATCTCTTAGGACTCTACAATGTATTAAATTAATACGTCCATGTTAAAGGCAGTCTCCTAAATGTCAGTGTCCTGGTCTGGGGTTTCAGTCACTGATCCCCCTGGACTAGGGGCTTTTCAGAACTGGATTTTAATTTAACCTGTTGAAGGGAAAATTAACTGAAAAAATTTGATCTGATTTTATAAACAGGACCTTCTAAACTGTGAGGTTTGGGGTATGTGCTTTTGGCATTGCCTATCTGAGAATATAATCTATATTAAACAAAGTCAAAAAATATCCTACAAATTTAAATTAAGAGACACTCTTCTATGCAGTGGTAATGTGATGGAATAAGATCTTGACCTGGCTCAAGTAATAGGATTTTTTTCTACTTATATTTGAGAACATAATTTTGATTTCTCTTGTTTGCTGCAATTTTCAAAATGACCAGAGTAGAAGAATAACAGCAAAGAAAACTGAAAAGGGTGCTTATGAAAGTTACAACAAAATTTTCCAGTTATTTAAAAATAAATAAAGAAAAAATAACTTCAGTTAAACTGAGAGGGTCAAATCCCTCTTCCTTGTAGCTGCTTCCTTCTTAGTGTGTCAGGAAACTGGGTTTGTGTGAAGTTCTCTAATTATTTCGTCTTAACTTAAAGGAAAGAGGAGTTGCAAGAGGTAAGTCACCAAGGCCGTGTGCCGCTTGGCTCCTGCCACAATCATTTTTCTTTAGAAAGTCTTTCCCAGTTGATCTCTTCGCTTACAAGCCGTCATTCTGGGGCCCTGCAAGAGGCTGCAAGACTTGTGGCCAGAGTGAATACCATTGTTTGACAGCAACAGTTGTATGTCACATCCAAGTTGTTGTTTGCGAAAGAGTAGGAGGAAGCGACAGCGTTACACAGTGTGGGCATTCCAGGGGTCTTCTCTTTCTGGACGTGGATGGAAAGCAATGGTGCCTTTAGCTTGGCCTGAAGCAGCACGACTGTCTAGCCCTAATGCAAAAGACAATGGAGAAAACAGGTCTGAAATTGGTATCTGATTGAGAAATTGCAAATTCTGTTACTGAAAAAGTAACCTGATGTAAAATAAGTTCTTATTACAATGCCTTGAGCAATACTGGAAATTACACAAAACTTCTGCCCTTTGTATTCAACCTAATTTAAAGGAAAAAGCGTGGAAGCCTGGCAGGTTGTGTCATCACCTTACAGCCTCCACCCTGTGCACCCGCTGTGCTCGCCCACTACGAGCAGATCTTCATTCCGCTGTGGAAATGAGAGCAGGATCTGGGCTGAACTGCCCAGCCCACCTGGTTGACTTTACGTTCATTTGTAAAGAAAAGGTAGAGAGAAGGGAGTAAGTTCCTATTCTTTAATTGATTTATCTGTATTATGTTTACCACAAAAGGAGAAAAGAAGTGTAGATAGCTGCACATCTTAAGTATAAGCATCAGTTGTCCTTTGGCTGTTCTGGTGCTTGCTAAATGGGCATGACTGAACCAAGACAGCAGTGGTTCCCACATTAGAACTGTTGGTTCCATTTGGTTTTAGGTATGAAAGTCTCTGAAGCATCCTCTGAAAATTCGGTCGTAGAAAACAAACTAATCCTGCTCGATGTATTAAAGAGGCTTGAAAAACCCTCTCTGTTGGTGCTGGTGGAGAAGAACCTTGAAACTACTGAGTTAGAGGTTAGCTTAGAAGCCCCTAGGTCTGCCTGTCTCGAGAGAAACAGGTATTGAAATGGCACCAGTGTTGTTTCAAGGATGGAGGAGGGAGCAGATCTTCTGTTCCTTTTCACACGAGTGGTGTGAATAAGGCACAGAACAGCCCGTGGAACCTGCTTATGCAGGAGGACAGCACTACCAGAGGAGTCCACCGATTATTTGGGAGATGGGGAGAGAAATTTTATTGGGAAGATGGGTAAGTGCCCTAGTGTTTTTTTTTTTAAATGACGATACTATGTCTTCCTCTCTCAGTGGTGATGTGAATTAGAAATGTCGAGGGGAAGTTGTGGCCTTAAAGGTCTGCACAGATGCTGAATACCCCAAGTAACAGGCTGATTTTTTGGATGGATAGGTGCACAGCATTTCAAGCCTTATTATTTCAAACTTTCCTTTTCTGTTAAGTTTTGTCTTTTTATTAACACCTGTTTCCAATTTGTGTAGAACTTGGACAAATAGCCCAACGGCCTTTTAAAGTAAGTAAAATGTGTGTTAACTTTTGTATTATAACCCCTGTTATAATGTAATCTATGTCTGTAGGTAGATAAGTAAGTGTGTATATAGATTACAGGATTTTCGATTTTTCACTTCAGTTGCACCAGAAGAGAAAAGATTAAATGAGAAGTTAGATTTGAATAAAACTCCACAAGGCTTCCATACAGGCCAGCAATTCTATGATACTTTTGTTATCTGTTATAAATTCTCATGCTTAGTCTGCCTGCATCTACGGGACTTGAGCAGAAAAGGAAAGGTTTTAAAGCGTAAGTTTATGAACACTGGATCCCTCATTGCAGATGAAGTTTTTGGACTTCAGAGTGACCTTTGTTTATCGATTAGGAGTTTTTTATTGGGGGTGGGTGAGATATAGCTGATTTGTGCCATTTCCAATGTAAGAAAAGGGAGGGGGAGAAGTACAGAGGAAATACCCTGTTGTATATGTGACTCTTTTTTGTTCTTTGTTAAGAGATATGCTGCATTTTATATACTCATGGTGAACTTTTACTCTGAACTAGCTGTGAGGAAACATATCTGGAGAATTTCAGATGAGTTAGCTGATTTTCAAGTGAGGTCCTGCCTTGTACCATACTTTCCATTAGGTTTTGAATGCTTTACAAGGAAATTACACAAGGCAGTAAAACCTTCGATTCGTACACCAAATCCTCTTGCCTTCCAGGCCTCACACTTGTATCAACAGAACAAATAAGCCCCTGAAGTTGTGTTGTCTTTTAAGTTCTCTGAAACAGTTCTAACTGCTGTACAGATTTCTGAGATGAAGTTGTAAATCAAAATGTGTTATAGTGAACTCAGGCCTTGTGCAAAATATTTAATACTTGTTTATATGTCTAATCGTACAGTCTCTGTACTAGTGGCAGTTTTATGTTTTGATTGTAAAACATTAAAATTTTCATGGGATTTATAAAGTGATGTTACTGTAGTGTCAGCTGTGATTCATAATTAGAACTGTCATAGCATGGCATTAGTGTATAACCGGTTTATTGGACAGCTCTTCAAAAACAAATTTATTCTTGTATCAACTTTTAGATCGGCTACTTAAAAATTATGTAAAAGGTACAGCGATAATTTCAAGAAATTCATATCACTTTGTACTGTGAATGAAGTTGCCTATGGAAATAAATGAACTTTTCATATTTTCATGTTGGAAGATACTTTTTTTTTTTAAGTTTCTATAAAATTAACTGCTAGTAACTTATTTAGAAAACTTTATCACTGTATTTTGTTTGAATTATAGTTTATCCCATGTAATTTTTAATTCCTTTCTTAGAGCAGTTGCTGTCCAGACATCTGTTAAATGTGCTCACACATTGCCTTCATGCAAAGAATAAAAGTCCTGGGGGAAAACTGATGCACTAGATGTCTCTAAAACTGGCATTTACATTTCTGAAAGCACACTAAGCCCATGTCAGAATCTGGGGTTGTGGTGCCACATGGTGATCTCTATTTGCATTTTCAGTGCTCACGTACTCAGAAACCAGCCCTGTCTCTAAACCCGGCTTTCAAAATACACTGCTTTGTCAGGCTTGGAGTTTGCCAGCACTCTGAAAGAAGCTAGTACGCACTTTTTGTATGATCAAGCATGAGACATCTGAGACGTGATCTGCTTAGGAGCATGATGGTTGGCTGGAGATGTCATGGGAAGAGAGAGTAAAAGAAGAAATAGCTGGATCTGGTGGAAGTGGAAAGGTGGCATCAGGTGGCTCCAATTCCCTCCTCATTTTCATTTCCTGAGGGTGACAGCATCCCCATTCCTCCCACACCTGTATCCATCAGGGGAGGACAGTCCTATTATATGCCAGCTTTTGGTCAATAGTAGCAGATGATGATAGAGTGAAATTCCAGTAAGGTGGAGACATACTTGATGGCACCCTGTGGAGAAAACCTCTGCCTTAGGTTGCTCAGCAGATCACAGTCCTGATCTGACTTGAACGTCCTTCACTATGGTAATGTTCCTTTTGTCCCCTCCGTTTCTGGACATTGTTAGGATCCGTAACTGTTACCTGTTTCTTAAGGTTCTTTCAGGTGCTGAAATCCACATGTTCTGGGTTGGTTTGTTGTGGCTTAGAATTCACA